TAATAAAAAAGATGACTTCCCATGAAACTGCAAATCTGTTATGTACAATTTACTTTTCCTTTTAAATATATAAAAATTATCACATAATTTTTTTCTCTGTTATCTTTTTTTTTCTTTCTCCCTTCCCCCTACCCTACCTAGATGGCTATCATTAGACACACAGGGGTAATTATTCTATACATACTTCTATTTATTAGTTCTTTCTCTAGATGAAGATAACATCTTTCTTCATATATCCTTTATTGTTAATTTGGATGTTTATAATAGTCAAAATGACTCATTCCCTCAAAGTTGGTCTTAATACAGTATTGCTGTTATTGTATACAATGTTCTCTTGGCTCTGATCATTTCAATCTTCATTATTTCATGCAAGTCTTTCCATGGTGTTTTTTTTTTAGGCAATTGGGGTACAGTGACTTGCCCAGGGTCACACAGCTAGTAAGTGTGTCAAGTGTTTGGTCTGAGGGCAGATTTGAACTCAGGACCTCCTGACTTCAGGGCCGGTGCTCCATCCACTGCGCCACCTACCTGCCCCCTCCATGTTTTTCTAAGATCACAATTAACTACCAGATGTAACAGTGTTCCAAATCACTAATTGCTAAGATCACTCATCATTTTTTATAGCACAATAGCATTCCATCAAAATCACTTATCACAACTTTTTCAGTCATTCCCCAATCAATGGGCATCCCTGCAATTTCCAGTTCTTTGCCACCACAAAGAGAGCTGCTATAAACATTTTAGAACATATAGGTTCTTTTCCTTTTTTCTCTAATCACCTTTGGAAATAGACCAGGTATTGGTAGACCAACATAGACATACGTAGACCAGTATCTTACACCATTTACCAAGATAAGGTCAAAATGGATACATGACATAAAGAGAGATATTACACAAAAATTAGAAGAACATAGAACATGTTACTTATCAAACTTATGGAGAGGTGAACAATTTATGAATAAACAAGAGATAGAGAGCAAAGTTAGGTATAAAATGGATAAGTTCAATCATATTAAATTTAAAAGGTTCTGTACAAATAAAACAAATATTGCCAAGATCAAAAGGAAAGCAGAAAATTGGGGGAAAATTTTCATAGGCAATTTCTCAGAAAAAGGTATCATATCTCAAATATATAAAGAACTTTGTCCAATTTCTAAGACTATGATCTATTCCCCAACTGATAAATGGTCAAAGGACATGAACAGGTAATTTTCCAATGAAGAAATCAAAACAATTTATAATCATATAAAAATACTCTAAATCATTCTTGATTAGAGAAATGCAAATTAAAACAACATTGAGATATCATTTTACGCCTACCAGATTGGCTAAAATGACTGAAGGGAAAATGACGTGTTGGAGGGGATGTGGAAAAATTGAAACTCTGCTTCACTGTTGGTAGAACTGTGAACTGATACAGTCATTTTGGAGAGCAATCTGGAATTATGCCTGAAGAATTCTTAAACTGCTATAAACTTTGACCCAGCAATAAAACCAAAAGGATATTAACAGTTCTCAGAAGAATTGTCAATAATTAACCAGCAGATGAAATAGTGTTCCAAATCACCAATAATAATTTAAAAATAATAATTTTTGTTGTTGAATCATTTGTCAGTTATCTCCAGTTCTTTATGACTCCATTTGGGATTTTCTTGGCAAAGACAACGGAGTGATTTACCGTTTCCTTCTCCAACTCATTTTACAGATGAGGAAACTGAAGCAAACAGGGTTAAGTGACTTGCCCAGGGTCAAAAAGCTAATAAGCAGATTTGAACTCAGGTCTTCCTGATTCCAGGCTATTGCTATATGTCTCTTCTCCCTTTCAGAGTCACACTGTGGTAAGAAACCTCTACTATCATTTAATCTGTTTCTTCAGTTCTTGCTCACTCCTCAAACATTTGTAATTTGGCTTCTGAACTGGCTCCAGTTCTATTGAAATTGTTGTATCCAAAGCATGTACCTGAGCTAATGAATTAAAAGGTCTTTTCTCAGGCTTCGCTTGGCCTTTTTTTTTTTTTTTAATGTAACTGACCATCCTGTCTTCATAGATACTCTGTCTCCTCCCTTGGTTGACATGAAATTGCTCTTTCTCCATTCTCCTTCAACCTATCTGACTGCTTCCCTTCTGACTCTTTGCCATCTTCCACCCAATAAACATGTGTGTCTTCTAAGGATCTGTCTTGTGCATTCTCTTTGTTTAATCTGTCACTTGGCCATTTCATCAGTTTTGGTGAAGCTAATTATCATCTCTAAGTAGATGACTCCCAAATTTATATATCCAGCCAGGCCCAATCAATGCCATGAATTCTAGTTCCTCATTTCCAGCTTCATTGTGGATTGTTCAAGGAGATATCTCAGCTGGATCAAAAACCTAACATAACCAAAATGGGATTAATTTTGTTTGCCCCTCCTTTCCCCTACTTCCTTCCTTCAGACTGCTCCATTTCTTTTGACAGCACCACGATTTTCTCTTTAACTCAGTTTCACAACCTCAGCAATCCTGAATCATTCTCACTCTCTCTCCCTCATTCCCTCACTCTCTTTCTTTCCCTCCCTCTCTCCCTACCTTCCTCTTACTTTCTCCCTGCCTCTTTTCACCCATTAATGCTATCTTCAGAAGATTGTTTGTATCTGGTTTCCACTTCTTTATTTACATGGCTACTCTCCTGGATGAACCCTTTCTCATCTGGATTGTTGCAATTGCTTTCTAATTAGTTTCCCTCCTTGCTTTTTAGCATTTCCTCTCTCTAATCTGTTGGCAGCACAGCTACTAAAGGGGTATTCTTACAACACAAGTCTGACTGTTTTACTCCTCTACTCCAAAACCTTCACTGGCCCCCTAATGTTCCTAAGATTCTTCCTAAGAAGAATCTCAACTGTCTTGGACTCAGACCTGTAAATCTTCCTTCTCAATCAGTTTGTTTGTGAACTCTCTCAATGTTGCTTAATAGGTACCCTGACTTAGTTTACTGGAAAGTTTGTTTGAAGGAATTTGTTTCCTTCAGGTATGTATGAGATGATGCTTCTGTTTGTTTGTTCAATATTTATGGCAATGAAGGAGGTATGAGATTTTGGATTTATTTTTTCTTTAATTTTTATGGCCTAGGAGGAATGCATAAGATTTCAATATATAAAAGAATAATTTCTCTGTCACTTTGATGTAATTTTACCTATAAGAAGTCTTATGAGAGTCCTAATCAGGATCCAGGTTTTCTCCAGAGGCCTGAACTCACACTTGAGAATAAGAATAAAATCTGGATTTTAACTCTATAATTTCCACATTGGGGTAAATATACATTTGGCAGCAGTGAGAAGACACATTTTTCCTTTAGCAGCGTGCATATGTTCTCTCTCCGCAAAAAGTTCCTTGAAGGCACAAGTGATTTCAATTTTTCGGTCTTTGAATCCCCAGCACCAAGTAACAATGCTTTGAACTTGGTAGAAGCTTATTAAATGTTCACTAAATTCAAGGAAGTTGATGATGATCAGAGGTGTCAAAGACAGGGCTCATGTGATGCATGCAGCCCACAATACTCCCAAGAGCTGCCCAACTCAGATTAAAATGTAACTGGGAAATATTTAACAAAATAAATTAATTAATTAAAATTAGAAATACATAAACATGTGTGGTTTTCAAAGCCAATATGCAGTTTGCAGGGATCCTCATGCATGGTTTTATTGTCCCCATTTGTGCTTGAATTTGGAGATAATGGGGTGGGATTAGGGGAGGTGATAAGAAAAGAAGGGGCTCATGAAGACGTCTGAGTTCTGATCTAGGCAGACTTCAAAAGCTGGGCTTAAAATAAAAGCTCCTTGAGGGTAGAAACAGTTTCAGTTTTGTCCTTATATTCCAGCCCTGGGACAGTTCCTTGCACAAATTTGGTCCATAAGAAATTCTTGTTGATTTTAACTGAACCTTGAAATAAATCATATATCCACTGGTAAGGTAATTTTTCAGCACCATGACTTTTTGTTGGAAAATCCTTTAAGGAAGACTTGCACAGAAGACATGAACAAAACTTGGATAAAGTGTGGAAATCATGTCATGTATACCTTTGGAGGAAAGCCCAAATCAATGACATCAGAATCCAGTGAAGTCATTAAGAGCCTATGCAAATTTCAAAGAAGAGAGAGGGTGAGGCATGGTCAGAAGATGGGAAGCAGGTTTGCTGCCTTGAATGAAGTACTGGGGAAGTGAGTCATAAGGAATAAATATATAGTTTAGATAGGGTTGGGAGGAAGAAAGATGGGGCTGGAAGCCCCTACTAAGAAGTCACTAATATCCTCATCCAATGTCTCCCTCACCCAGCTCCACTAGCCACCTTCCTGCTTGCTTTATTTCTCTCCTCCTACTCACCTGCCCATACACTAAGTAACTATGGGAAATGATCTGTTTGTACATAGAGAACACTCGGGAAGGGATTTGACCCCCAGAACATGGGTCAGGGGCACTGGCCTATTGGAGAATGGGATACAATACAGAAAATGATTGAACTTCTAGAGGGCCTTGCTCTTCCTGCTCCCTGTATTACGCAATAGGTAGAGCACTCAGGAGTCAGGAAGATCTGAGATCAAATCTTGCCTCTGACATTTGATATCTATGTGACCGTGAAAGTCCCTTAAACTCTCTCAACTACATTTATCAAATGAGGATTCTAATAGAACCTACTTCATAGGGTCGTGTTGAGGATCAGATGAGGTAACCCAAGTGAAGGACTTCTCCAACATTGAAGCACTATTGCTATAACATGGAGCCTTGTCTCTGCTCCCACCATTCCTTGGCAGCTAAGGAAGGGGGTAAAGGAAAAATGGGGTGACATCATTGTCAGCCTTCTGGTGCCAAAGAGCTGTCAAATGGGAGGTTTTCTTCACAAAGACTGAATGGATTGATAAAGGAAGAAAATGGGTGTGATTCACAGCTGGGCAGGGAAAGGATGAACACAGTAAAATCCAAAGCCATCTCATTTCCTTGAGGCAGGCAGAAAACACCATATAAAAGGTTCCCAACATTCCCACAACTGAGCAACAGACCTGAGTCCTTTGACAAGCTTCTTTTCTCTAAGTGCCAGGTAAGTCTCTGTCCTCTGAATTACTAGCTAATAAACTGAGCATAGGGATCTTATAGTCTTAGAACATTGCTTTGGATATGAAAAACCTGACCTCCAGAGAAAAGGGACTTGACTAAAGTCACACAGTTAGTTACTATAGTAGCAGAATAAAACTAGATTCAGGGTTCCTCATTTCTGACTAGAGAGATTTAAGCTTTCTTGTTCATTTCATTCTGCTCAAATAAATGTAAAAATCATAATGCTGCTTTCAGCATTAATATCCAAGTATCCTTTGACAGTATTTCATTGAAACACAGGTCAAAAGGGAATAGATCTTAAGAATTCCTTATTCATGTAATATTATATGTATATGTATGTGTATGTATGTGCATATATCTATTCACATGCACTTATAAAGGTATGTATATTCTGAAGAAGAATATAGATGGGGGTCATGCTCCCTCTCTTAGGGGTATTTGAAGTAATGCTACTTGGAAAAAGGATCAGATTAGTGCTAGTTGGACCAGAACCCAGTACTCGGAACAAAGAGCGGTAGCTTCAGACAGGTAGATTTAGGCTTGGCTTATTGAAAGAACTTACTGAAAGAGTTATCCCAAATTCTAATGGAATGCCATGGGAGATAGTGAAAGTCTTCAAGTAAAGTCTGGATGAGGTTTGGGATAGAATGAGGAGATGTTTGTTCAGGTATAGGTTGGGCTAGATGGCCTATGAATTCTCTTCTGACTTTGAGATTATGTGATTCTGAGTACCTATAGTCAAAATGCTTTATTTTACAGATGAGAAAGTAGAGCCAGCTGGTTTGGTGCACAGAGTGCTGGGCCTGGAGTCAGGGAGACATGATTTAAATCCAGCCTCAGACATTTATTAGCTGTGTGTCACTAGAAAATCATTTGATCTCCATCTGCCTCAGTGTCCTCATCTGTAAAATGGGATAGTAATGGCACCTCCCTCTTAGATTTGTTGTGAGGATCTGATGAGATATCTGTAAAGTATTTTGCTATAGAAATGCTAGCTATTCTCATTTTTAGAGAGGAAAAGGGACTTGTCTAAGGTCACATGGCTAGTTAGGGGAAGGGGTAGGACTTTAACACCCTTTAACTTTAACATTAGAACTATTGAGTGTGTGTGTGTGTGTGTGTGTGTGTATGTGTTTGTGTGCGTCATTATGGGGTATATTTTCCTGAAAATATAACATTATCCACGTTTGGAGGTTTCAAGGTTTTTTAATATGGGGTCTGTGAAGTCAGTTTTTAATATTTTGATAAATATTTTTCTATATAATTAATTGAAGTCCCATATATTTTATTTTATACATTTAAAAACATGAGGAATCTACAGGATTCACAAGCCTAAGGAGTCCATGACACAAAAAAGGTTAAGAATACCCAATTTATATGGAACTATTCATCTAGCGTCTTCAATATAGTTATGCTGTACAAATGCAGCAGTTTTTAATGTTTTTAATCAGCAGATCAGAGTCTTTATGACACAAGTTTCTTTCCTTGTGACTTCAGGGTGCTTGAAGTTTAACTCAGAAATAGACCACGTACACTAATCCCTGTTGTAGCTTTGGGCAGTACAAGAAAGGAGACAGAAAGAGAAGGAGGCAACACAGGCCGGGGAAAGAGCACAGCATTTGGCATTAGAGTAGATCTTTGGTCCAAATGCCAGCACTGCCAGCTCTTACTTATGTGACTTAAACTGCACAGGCCTTAGTCATTTCCTCATCTATAAAATAAGAAGATGGAAGAGATGATCTCTAATGTTCCTTCCAAGGCTGGACTTGATGATCCTAGAGAGGACAAGTGAAAAGACGAGTGTAGGGGAAGAGAAATAAAGCATTGGCGAAAAGAAGGCAGACAAGGATGCAGAAGGAGAGACAGTGCCAAAGTTGGAAAATGGTGCTGGCAGGCTCAAGAGCAGGATCTGTTCATAGGTGGGTCCTGAAACAGGACTGCAAGGATGAAAAGATGAGGAATCAGGGGAAACTGATGACTACCCTTCTAAGTTAGCCAGATTCAAAGTATATCCTAAAAGGGAAATGGACAAGAGAGACCTCAAAGTGCCTGAAAACCATGTTCTTCTCACAGGGCTTGTACTCTCCCCATATGATAACAGAATTGCTATCATTTCTTCTCCAGGTCTATCCACAACACCAAGCCATGTTTTCCCAGCAGCAGAAGCAGCCCTGTACTCTACCTCCCCAGCAGCAATGTGCCTCCCAAACCAAGGAGCCTTGCCACCCCAAGATCCCAGTGCCTTGCCATCCCCAAGTGCCACAGCCTTGCCATCTCAAGGTACCACAGCCTTGCCATCCCCAGATGCCAGCACCTTGCCATCCTCAGGTGTCAAAGCCTTGTATACCCACTGTTACTCCACCTGCTCAACAGAAATGCCCACAGGTCCCCAAGACCAACCAGATGTAAGACGGATCAGGACTATGCCCTCCTGGGTACCAGCCTTTGCGGGCAGAACCTCCATTAAATCAGCTTTCCAATTCTAATTGCTTAAGTTCTCTCTGTTTCCTGGGAAAGTTTTCCTCTGATGATCTGCAGCCTGTAATTGTCATGTTCCAATCAATTAGCAAGAGCCCTGCCCTTCCTTTGGATCTTGAAAATGTTTTTACAGAAATGTGTCTCCCATCCTGGGATTCCTAAGCAGGAGGACCAGGCTGCCTACATCTTTCTGAGCTGATCCTCTGGCTACTCCACTGTCAGGGCCAGAATCAGGATCAATCTAGGAATGCTTCAATCCAGAAATGATTGAATCCTCTACTCATCCATTAAACTCCTTTTCCATACTGTTTCTGGCTGTCTCTGTGTTATTATTGGTTGCTTCCTACTCTTCTTCATTCTCTTTACTCCAGAATTGAGGTGGATGGAGGATATGGGGAAACTAGAGAATATCCCTCCTGGATGAGGAACTCTCAACTAAGGATGGTGGCTAGGGGTGGTTTATGGTGTAGGGTATTTAATCCTGGCATGAATTCAGGACTAGCTGGCAGCACTATGGGCACCCAGCAGACACTTGGTAGGTATAGGATAGATGATTAGGCAATGTACAATCTTTCTAAGGCTACTCAGTCCAGAGTCAGGCCTGGCACATGTGGCTCTACTCTTGGGTCCAACTCATGTCCAGAATCCAAAATGGTGCTGCTTGCTCTCCACTTGTTTCTCACTCTCTCCCCTACCTACAAACCACCTGTTTCTGGTGAAATGAGAAGACCGTTAATACTGGAAGCCAAAAAGGTTCAAGTCTTGGCTTTGCCTATTGCTACTGATGTGAACTTTGGCAAATGAGTGTACTTCTCTAAAGCTTGGTTCCCTTTCTAAAATGTGGATAATGATGTTTTCACTCTCATAGAGTTTAAGTGAGGGAAATCTCTATTTAAATTTAATTATGCATATTAGGAAAACTATCAATATAAGTGACCACATCAATAACAAAACCAACAGAAATCATATGATTAGCTCTATTGATTTAAGCTTTTGACAAAATACAGCACCCATTCCTATTAAAAACAATAGAGTATAGAAATAAAGATAGCGTTCCTTAAAATGATAAGCAGTGTCTGTCTTAAATCATCAGCAAGCTTTATCTACAATGGGCTAAGCTAGAATCCTTCCCAGTATGATCAGGGATGAAGCAAGGATGCCCATTGTCACCACTATTATTCAACATGGTACTAGAAATGTTAGCTTTAGCAATATGATTAGGAAAGAAATTAAAGGAATTAGAATAGGCAATAAGGAAACAACACTATCATTCTTTGCAGATGATATGATGGTGTACTTAGAGAATCCTAGGACATCAACTAAAAGATTACTTGAAAAAATTAATAAATTTAGCAATGTTGCAGGATATATGATAAGCCCACATAAATCATCAGCATTTCTTTTTTGGGGGGGTAGGGGAGGCAATTGGTGTTAAGCTATTTGCCCAGGGTGAGGTATCTAATAAGTGTCAAGAGTCTGGTCTGAGACAGGATTTCAACTCAGGTCCTCCTGATTCCAGGGCTGGTGTTCCATCCACTGCACCACCTAGCTGCCCCCATCAGCATTTCTTTACATGACCAATTAAGCCCAGAAGCAAGCAATAGAAAGAGAAATTCCATTTAAAATAACTGTAAACAATATGAAATACTTAGAAATCTACCTGCCAAGACAAACCCAGGAACAATATGAACACAATTACAAAACAGTTTTCACACAAATAAAGTTAAATCTAAACAATTGGAAAAATATCAATTGCTCATGGTTAGTCTGAGCCAATATAATAAAAAGGACAATTCTGTTTAATCTAATTTACCTATTCTGTGCCATACTAATCAAACTACCAAAATTTATTTTGTAGAGCTAGAAAAAAATAACAACAAAATTGATTTGCAAGATTAAAGGGTCAAGAATATCCAGGGAATTAATGAAAAAAAAATGTAAAGGAAGGTTGCCTAGCAATGCCAGATCTCAAACTATATAATGAAGCAGTAGTCGTCAAATCTATTTTGTACTGACTAAGAAATAGAAAGGTGGATCAGTGGGACATGTTAGGTACACGAGACACAGTAGTCAGTGATCATAGTAACTTAGTATTTGACAAACCCAAAGACCCCAGCTTTTGAAATAAGAACTCATTATTTGACAAAAACTGCTAGGAAAACTTGAAAATAATAGGACACCAACTAGGTGTAGACATTTCATACTGTATACAAAGATAAGGTCAAAATGGGTGCATAATTGAGACATAAAGCTTAACACCATAAGTAAATTAGAAGAGAAAGGAATACTCCACAAGAGAAAGGAATGGAAGAATCCATGACAACATAAGAGATGGAGAGTGTAACAAAATGTAAAATAGATAATTTTGATTATATTAATTAAAAGGCTTTTGTACAAACAAAGCAAATGTAACCAAGATTAGAAGAAAAGCAGAAAGCTGGGAAACAATCTTTACAGCAAGTGTTTCTGATAAAAACCTCATTTCTTAAATATATATAGAGACCTGAGACAAATGTCTAAGAATATAAGCCATTCCCCAATTGACTAATGGTCAATGGATATGAACTGGCAGTTTTTAGATGAAGAAATCAAAGCTATTTCTAGGCATATGAAGAAGTGCTCTAAATCACTTTTGATTAGAGAAATGAAAATGAAAACAACTCTGAGGTACCACCTCACAACTATCAGACTGGCTAATATGACAAAAAAGGAGAATGAGAAATGTTGGAGAGGATGTGGGAAAATTGGGACACTGATGCACTGTTGCTGGAGTTGTGAACTGATCCAACCATTCTGGAGAACAATGTGAAACTCTGCCCAAAGGGCAATCAAACTCTAAATACGATTTGATTCAGTAAAAACCACTATAAGACCTGTACCCCAAAGAGATCATTAAAAGGGAAAGGGATCTACATGTAGAAAAATATTTTTAGCAGCTCAAGGTCACACAGGTAATAAGTAACAGATTGAGGATTTGAACCCAACTCTTTTGACTTTAAGTCCATCACTCTTCTCAGTGTGCCAACACTGCCTCCCCAAGGTGACAGGTCAGAATGGCTTCCCTGGTTGTTGCAAAAACTCTCTGTAGGACACTGGCAAGAACTAAGGAATCTTGGGAAATCTGAAACAGGGAAGAATTACATCACTTGGAAATGGAAAGCAGGGTACATTTTGGCGGGGTTTCCCAATATTAGCTTTGATTTTTTTGTGGGGCAGGGGAAAAGAAGGAGAAACTCTGGACGTGATTTTAACATTGTAGTGATCCCCAGGTCCCTCTCCCAAAGCAGCCTGAAATTTGTCCTACAATGCATAGTCTTATAAAGCTGCCTCCAATTTATCCTTTTCTATCTTGTTTTTAAGTAGGTATTTGTTTGCTGTCTGACTTCTTAGATTTTTCAAAGAAGTTCTTTTGATGTGTTTTTACATTACACGTATTTGCAGATCACTCTTACTTCATCAGAGGTCAAAAGTGACCTCACCTGAAAGTGCCTTCCTCAGCCCCTCTTAATTCCAGGGCCTTCCCTCTTTCAATTATTCCCTATTTCTTTTGTGTATAGCTTACTTATTGTATATACTTGTTTGTATATATTTGCATATTGTATATATTTGCATATTGTCTCTCCCTTAGACTCTAAGCCCCTTGAGGGCAGGGACTGTCTTTTGCCTCTTTTTCCATCCAAAGCATTTGGCTTAGTAGCTGGCACATAGTGGGCACTTTATAAATGTTTATTTATTGATTGATGTGCCACTTCACATTTGTAGCAGCTCCTCCCCATCTCTCCTTTTAAAAAATCCTTACCGCCGCTCCGTGAGGAGGCAGCGGCTGTGGCGGCCGCCGAAGCGTCTGAGAGCCCCGGGGTCTCGGGCCCTCCTCTGCCCTCTCAGCCCTTTCCTAGTCGAGGAGGTTCCTGCAGACGTGCGGGGATGGATCTTCAGAAGCCGATGACTACTGGGCGCTACCAAGTGCTTCATAATGAAGATGGTAATTCAGAATCATCTGCTGTTGAGCCACCATCACCTTCAACACAGATAGCACGAACTTCTTCGGGACCTATACTTAAACCTGAGGCTTCTCCTCCACTTTACAGTAGCATTACTGTGGCATTTATCCACAACTGGATTGGATTTTGTTTATCCTTCTGCATAACTAAAACCATTGCTGGAAAATATGGTGCCCTCTGTGGATTTGGCCTTTCTTTGATCAAAAGGATCCTCATTGTTCTGTTTTCTGATTTTTTTTACTGGATACAAAAATGGACAATACCGGCTTCGGTGGATATTTCTTGTCCTTGGCCTCCTCCTTTTCTTTTTCTTTCTTTCTCTTTTTTTTAGGCAATTGAGGTTGAGTGACTTGTCCAGGGTCACACAGATAGTAAGTGTCAAGTATTTGGTCTGAGGTCAGATTTGAACTCAGGTCCTCCTGACTTCAGGCCAGTGCTCTATCCATGGCGCCACCTAGCTGCTCCACTTCCTCCTTTTCTTCAGAGGATTTGTCATTTATCTTAAAGTCAGAAACATGTCTGAAAGTATGGCTGCTGCTCATACAAGATTTTTCTTCTTGTATTAGTGACTGCATCAACCAGACGTTCCTTTCCTGTACCAATGTGGAATTTCCAGATGATTTGTAAGCCTCCAATCTAATAGGATAGAAGACTACTAACAACAGAAGACCAATTAGTGAAGAAAACAAAATGAATGACAGGGTGGTTTATGCTTAAATGCCATTTCTCTTCATTCTGTTTCCAAATAAAGACCTGCACTATAAATAGCTTCTTGCTTCATACTAATGGTGTTAAGTTTTGAGAAAATTATCTTTTGCATCTAAACGTGTAAAACTTATGAAAATTACCAATGGGCTTTGTGCCACACTTTAAGAATACACCCTCTCAGCCATTATCAACAACTGGAATCCAGGTTGCAGTCATAAATTAATGTATTTTC